AGGAGAACACGGGGGGAGAAGAAGAGGAGAACACGGGGGGTGGGAGATGAGAACACAGGGAGGGGGGGTTGAGGAGAAAATGGGGTAGGGAGAAACCACTAAAGGAGGGAGGGGGTGGTGGAGAGACCACTAGGGGAGGGGTGTGAGGAGAGACTGCTAAGGGAGGGGGTGGAGGATAGACCACTAGGGGAGGGTGGCGGGAGAGGAGAGACCACTAATGGAAAGGGGGGCAGAGGAGAGCAGAGACCACTAAGGGGGAGACGAGAGAACACTATCGAAAAGTCGGGGATAAAAGGAGACCACTAAGGGAGGTAGGGGGGAGAGGAGAGGAGAGACCACTAAGGGGCAGGGGAGATCTCTAAGGGATGGAAGGGAGAGCTCTGTAGGACAGGGGGCAGGACAGGGAGCTCTTTCACACCCCACGCACACACACACACACACAATGCATCCCTATACACACAGAAACACAACATGCTTCCCTTACACACAGAGAAACAAATAATGCAACCCTTACACATAAAGACAATACATCCTTTGCACATATACACAGAAATGCACAATGCATCTCTTACACACACATGCAAACACACACTGCTTCTCTTACACACACACACAGAAACACACTGCATCCCTTACATACACAGAAACACACTTTGCATCCCTTACATACACAGAAACACACTTTGCATCCCTTATGCATACAAACACAGATTCACACAGTGCATCCCTTACACACAACAAGAAACACACAATACATCCCTTATACACAAACACTCACTGCTTTCTATCCCTTACACAAAAACACACTGCTTCCACTACATACACACTGCATCACCTACACAAACTGGTATCCCTATACACTACATTCCATAAGCACACACATTAGATCCTCTACAGTAACACATAACACATCCCCTACACATTCCACTCCCTGTGAGCGAACTCATGGGTGGAACATGTAGGTGGACTTATGGGTGGGCTTTATGGGCATACTCACCGTCAGGCCCTGGGGCCCAAACCTTGAGCTATGTAAGAGGCCCCAAAAAATAGAGCTGCTTCCCGTTCTCCCAGAACATTGAATTTTGTGACCACAGTTACAAACAGCCTCCAGAGATCCTGTTCTACACCAGACCAGTGGAGCCAGACTGCAGCCAGAGCCCATCACCATCCTCATCTGATTGTAAGTAGGCAATCTAGTATATTATTAGTGACACTAATCTCTAATTTACCTCACATTAAATGGACACTATAGTCCCCAGAACCACTGCAGCTTAATAAAGTTGTTCTGGTGTCTATAGCCGGTCCCTGCAGGCTTTTTAATGTAAACACACAATGTGTGCAGCACTGGCATTAGTTCATATGGCAGATCATATGGGTGGGGCATTGCGATGTCTCGGGGGGAGGAGAGGGGGCAAATCTTTCTTTTGCCTTGGGCGGCAAAAATCCTTGCACCGGCCCTGTCTAGATGCACACTTGCAAAACAGAATATTCAATGATAACATTTTTCAACTGTAGGGCAATAGCTTCTTGACCCAAGGAGTAATCTGACTGGGGTCAAGAGGGAATTTTTTTTCCTAGTTTGTTGCAAAATTGAAAGTGCTTCAAACTGGGGGGTTATTTTTGCCTTCTTTTGGATCAACAGCAAAAAACAAATGGGAGGAAGGTTGAACTTAATGGACATGTGTCTCTTTTCAGCCTATGTAACTATGTAATTATGTAACTATGTAATCCGATAAATATTGGTTAGGTAAGTGAATTTAGGTGGGTTTACCTGTTAGTGACTTTTATATTTACTATAAAGCACTCTTAGATGTATTTCAAAGCTTAGTAGTTATGTAGCTTGATTGTAACATAATGTATTATTTAAATGTTTTACTTTGATGTTAATTAGTCCAACCAAATCATATAAAACAGTTTTGAGTTTAAAAGAATTTAGGGAAACTGTCACTTCTCTAGAACTGACACTGTCGGTTAAAACAATGGAAATCACCTATAACCTGCGTTAACCTTTTTTCTTACAACACGTGGTGCTCTGTTTTCTTTTAGATTTATAATAAAGATTTAACAAATGACAACATAATCCAGTTCAGACAAGGAAAAGCCAGAACAAACATTGTGAATGAAGAGGTGAAATAGCAATACTGTTTTTCACACCTCACCAATACACATTTGTTATATATAGGGATCGGTAATGCTAATATTAAAAATCCTGGGAAGTAAACATTTACTTCGTTCGGACTGTTTTGTAATATATGTAATATGCAGATAGTGCATAAACAATGAAAAAGATGCATGATACATTCATGAGATCCTTCTAAATTACTTTGTTACTTTGAAAGAGGTCCAGTTTGAAATTCACAACCAAATGTTTTGCAGCTTTGTGCCAGGGCTAGTTGCAGCCCCAGCACATGTGATTTAGGCAGCCCAGACCTCTGTTCCAATGGGCCTAATGTCAGTTCTGTGCATATTTCACATCTGTCGCCAGTGCACTTCACGCTAGTGGCAGACGTAATTTGATTCTCTTCTTGCAGGCAGAGCCTTATGTCTCCTTTTCCAGCAGCCCATCCACCTTTCTATCCCCTCCGTTTAGTTTTTAAGGCTCACTCTCCTTGAGTGCACATGCTCTCTGAACTGACCATTTGGTCACAATTTTGGACCGTTCGACGTCTGCCATGACGTCAGAAGGGGCATGGAAAGGTAAGTAAGAACGTATTTTATAACTCTTTTTTTGTAGCGATTAGGAAGGAGGACTAAAATATTATTGTCTAAAATGTTTCATTTTAGATGTGTAAGTAGGGGTGTGGCCAGGGTTGGGATGTTCTGAGACATTGTAGGTGACTTACTAATAACAATTTATGACAGTAAAATGTAAATTATAATAAGAATAATGTACCTTATTTACACAGTCTGATTTCTAAACTTTTTAATGAAAACATTACTGTGAGTATTATTGCTGTGGAACTCTGCTACACACTTAGATGCACTAACAACATGTACCTCTTGGAACAGAAAAAAGGGATTTGGGCCAAAAATAGGGATTGTCCCACCTAAATAGGGACATTTGGGAGGTATGCTTTAGTGAATAACCTGTGAGTTGAAAACCCAGGGAGGGACATGGAGATACGATTTTTTAATGTAAAGTGCTGCGGAATAAACTGGCGCTATATAAATACTTATAATAATAAAATGGGAAAAACATGTAAATAACTGATTGGTGTTGCAGTTATGCCGAGCGATCATGATTTGCTTTGCTGTATCTTAGTTAAAGAAAGGGTGTCATTGTAATTTTAATATGTTCTACAACACCATTATATTAAAACTATATGTAAATGAAACAGCATTATTTTATCTATATATTATATATAGAAAGGGTTTGGTCCATATTAGTTGTTATGCAAGTCATCTGACACAATGCAAGGCCTCCTCTTATAAACGAGATATCAAAAAGCGTTGTTAGACCCACACCCTTCTTAAACATTTCAGATACACACATAAACCACTCTTATTTACTTTTTGATTTTTTCCCAGCAGCTGTTCATACTCCTTAGGTCCTGCTTGTTTTAAGGTAATCCCTTTAAACCATGGAACTCAATCTTCAATTCCAGCATAGATATTCTCACAAAGTTATTTACTAAATAAATAAAAAAAAATGTTTAAATAAGCTAAAGTGGTCTGGGTGCCTTTCATTTCTGACAATTCATAGTGAAAGCAGCCAAAAAACTAAATAACTCATTCATAGTTATTTACTAAAGTGAGAATTGTCGGGAATTCAAAAAGGTTTATTCACGACAGTGAAAATTCAAAGGGAATTTCAAATTTAAGATCAAAATGGTCAAACTGGAAAAAATCTCTAAGTCAGCAATGCTGTCAGTTCGACTACTACGGCCTTAAATTTGAAATTCACTTGGAATTGTCACTTTAATAAAAAAAAAACCCTGTAACTGAATAAAAAATTTAAGGCCAAAATAGCAAAAATAATCCAGATAAGCTATGCTTCCAGTTCTGCTACTTTGGACTTAAATTGAATTTTGCTTATAATTCCTCAAAATTCTTACTTAAGGGAATAGCTCAGTTCTAGACAATTCACAGTTTAGTGCAGCGGTCCTCAAACTCTGTCCCTCCACATGTTGCTGAACTACAACTCCCTTGATTCTCTGGCTATCTATGTAATTCAAAGAATCATGGGAGTTGTAGTTCAGCAACATCTGGGGGGGCTGGAGTTTGAGGACCCCTGGTTTAGTGCATAATCTTGTTTTAGAAACAGCTGCTAAGGCAGTTGCTAAGTAATACTAATAATAACCAATAATAAAACACACAGTGGCATTGATTCTTTTTTTCTTCTTACAGCTGGCTCTGTGCTTCTGACATTCTCTAATTATCTCTTGGTTTCATGATACACCCAATGGGAAATAGATAACAGAGCTCTCCCCACACACTACCATAAATAGATTCAATAAGCGTACCTGCCCTAAGGTACCTGAGGCAGAAACCAGGTGCAGTACCTGCTAAGTGAGCACGAGATGAACATCTGAAACCTTTTATTAACCAGCTCAGCCCTGATCTTTCACACACCTTACAGTTGCAAGAAAAAGTATGTGAACCCTTTGGAATGATATGGATTTCTGCACAAATTGGTCATAAAATGTGATCTGATCATCATCTAAGTCACAACAATAGACAATCACAGTCTGCTTAAACTAATAACACACAAAGAATGAAATGTTGCCATGTTTTTATTGAACACACCATGTAGACATTCACAGTGCAGGTGGAAAAAGTATGTGAACCCTTGGATTTAATAACTGGTTGAACCTCCTTTGGCAGCAATAACTTCAACCAAACGTTTCCTGTAGTTGCAGATCAGACGTGCACAACGGTCAGGAGTAATTCTTGACCATTCCTCTTTACAGAACTGTTTCAGTTCAGCAATATTCTTGGGATGTCTGGTGTGAATTGCTTTCTTGAGGTCATGCCACAGCATCTCAATCGGGTTGAGGTCAGGACTCTGACTGGGCCACTTCAGAAGGCGTATTTTCTTCTGTTTAAGCCATTCTGTTGTTGATTTACTTCTATGCTTTGGGTCATTGTCCTGTTGCAACACCCATCTTCTGTTGAGCTTCAGCTGGTAGACAGATAGCCTTAAGTTCTCCTGCAAAATGTCTTGATAAACTTGGGAATTCATTTTTCCTTCGATGATAGCAATCCGTCCAGGCCCTGACGCAGCAAAGCAGCCCCAAACCATGATGCCCCCACCACCATACTTCACAGTTGGGATGAGGTTTTGATGTTGGTGTGCTGTGCCTTTTTTTCGCCACACATAGTGTTGTGTGTTTCTTCCAAACAACTCAACTTTGGTTTCATCTATCCACAGAATATTTTGCCAGTACTGCTGTGGAACATCCAGGTGCTCTTGTGCAAACTGTAAATGTGCAGCAATGTTTTGTTTGGACAGCAGTGGCTTCCTCTGTGGTATCCTCCCATGAAATCCATTCTTGTCTAGTGTTTTACGTATTGTAGATTCGCTAACAGGGATGTTAGCATTAGCCAGTGACTTTTGTAAGTCTTTAGCTGACACTCTAGGATTCGTCTTCACCTCATTGAGCAGTCTGCACTGTGCTCTTGCAGTCATCTTTACAGGACGACCACTCCTAGGGAGAGTAGCAGCAGTGCTGAACTTTCTCCATTTATAGACAATTTGTCTTACCATGGACTGATGAACAGCAAGGCATTTGGAGATACTTTTATAACCCTTTCCAGCTTTATATAAGTCAACAATTCTTAATCGTAGGTTTTCTGAGAGCTCTTTTGTGCAAGGCATCATTCACATCAGGCAATGCTTCTTGTGAAAAGCAAACCCAGAACTGGTGTGTGTTTTTTATAGGGCAGGGCAGCTGTAACCAACACCTCCAATCTCATCTCATTGATTGGACTCCAGTTGGCTGACATCTCATTAGTCTAGGGGTTCACATACTTTTTCCACCTGCACTGTGAATGTTTACATGGTTGTTTGGAAGAAACACACAACACTATGTTGTAACGGAGTCTTACCTGATAGGGAGTCCAGCTCGCAGAGTTATACGCTCACCCTTGCAAAGTAGACACAGACCAGGGTGACCAGGTAAGACGCCACCTGGCCTGTGAGTCTGTGCACGGGGGCTTTCCAGGAAAAGTGCTCCAAGTCTCAGTACAGCAGGGATTAGCAGAAGCGTGGTCAAGGGAAGCCAAAATCAGAGAAGCCAGAGGTTAGAGTAGTCCAGGAGGAAAGCCAAGGTCAGAAGCTGGAATTAGACAGGAATCACTGGAACGCAGGTACGGAGTAACAGGAACCAAACAAGGGAACCAGAGTCAATGAACTGACACCCTTCCCAGGGTGAGGCAGGCTTTTATATCCAGCCAATCAATATGGGATACAGGTGTGCTAGAGCAGCCACGGGTAAGTTCAGCTCCCAGTGCTGGAAACAAGGCGATGACATCTATTAAAGCAATACATGAATGGCTGGATAGCACAGTGGCAAAAGAGCAGGATTCATAAAGCCAAAGACCAGGGTTCAAATCCCCTGCTGGGCACTCCTGGGGTGACCTCGTCTGGCAGACTGGATGTCGTGGCGAGAACCGTGACATATGTGTGGTGAAAAAAAAGCACAGCACACCAACATCAAAACCTCATCCCAACTGTGAAGTATGGTGGTGAGGGCATCATGGTTTGGGGCTGCTTTGCTGCGTCTGGGCCTGGACGAATTGCTATCATAGAAGGAAAAATGAATTCCCAAGTTTATGAAGACATTTTGCAGGAGAACTTAAGGCCATCTGTCAACCAGCTGAAGCTCAACAGAAGATGGGTGTTGCAACAGAACAATGACCCAAAGCATAGAAGTAAATCAACAACAGAATGGCTTAAACAGAAGAAAATACGCCTTCTGAAGTGGCCCAGTCAGAGTCCTGACCTCAACCCGATTGAGATGCTGTGGCATGACCTCAAGAAAGCGATTCACACCAGACATACCAAGAATATTGCTGAACTGAAACAGTTTTGTAAAGAGGAATGGTCAAGAATTACTCCTGACCGTTGTGCACGCCTGATCTGCAACTACAGGAAACGTTTGGTTGAAGTTATTGCTGCCAAAGGAGGTTCAACCAGTTATTAAATCCAAGGGTTCACATACTTTTTCCACCTGCACTGTGAATGTTTACATGGGGTGTTCAATAAAAACATGGCAACATTTCATTCTTTATGTGTTATTAGTTTAAGCAGACTGTGATTGTCTATTGTTGTGACTTAGATGATGATCAGATCACATTTTATGACCAATTTGTGCAGAAATCCATATCATTCCAAAGGGTTCACACACTTTTTCTTGCAACTGTATCTCTCTCTGCTATCACATTTACTAGTTTTACACGTTCATTCAACATGGTTATTACATAAAGTGTAGATAGTTCAAAATTTCAAATTTAAAGGGACACTCCAGGCACACAGACCATTTCTGCCCATTGGTGTGGTCTGGGTGCCAACTCCCACCACCCTTAAAGGACCACTCTAGGCACCCAGACCACTTCAGCTTAATGAAGTGGTCTGGGTGCCAGGTCCTTCTAGGGTTAACCCATTTTTTTATAAACATAGCAGTTTCAGAGAAACTGCTATGTTTATGAATGGGTTAAGCCTTCCCCCTAATCCTCTAGTGGCTGTCTCATTGACAGCCACTAGAGGCGCTTGCGTGCTTCTCACTGTGATTTTTCACAGTGAGAGCACGCAAGCGTCCATAGGAAAGCATTGTAAATGCTTTCCTATGCGACGGGCTGAATGCGCGCGCAGCTCTTGCCGCGCGTGCGCATTCAGCCCAGGAGGAGGAACGGAGGAGGAGAGGAGGCAGAGAGCTCCCCGCCCAGCGCTGGAAAAAGGTAAATTTTTAACCCTTTCCCCCTTCTAGAGCCGGGCGGGAGTGGGTCCCTGAGGGTGGGGGCACCCTCAGGGCACTATAGTGCCAGGAAAATGAGTATGTTTTCCTGGCACTATAGTGGTCCTTTAACCCTGCAAGTGTAATAATTGCAGTTTTTATAAACATCAATAATTACCTTGCAGGGTTAAGTCCTCCTCTGGTAGCTGTCCTTCAGACAGCCACTAGAGGGACTTCCGTGTTCTTAGAACATGAAAAGTGTTTTAAACTATGCTGGACGTCCTCATGCTGGGTCCTGCAGTGCCTGGAAAACAAATGTGTTTTCCTGGCACTGGAAAGTCCCTTTAAGGCTAGAACAATTAAAAGGAAAATGTGGCGATTTTTCCAGTATGCCTAGTTTGGTGTAAATTTTTAATTAAATTCACATTTTAGTACAAACCTCTGTTACAGTGTTAATAAAACATATTTTAATATATAATATAACAATGTAATTGTAAATGTCCTAAAGTGAGAAATGACACTCCTATTCCTAAAAGTGTAGGTAATTATTTGTACGATAGCATATGGCTATCATTAAAATAACAGGTGAATATAAGCTTTGAATGTCAGTCTGTCATTTCTATTTTCCTCCTTGTTGTATACAGTGTAACACCTGCTCACATGCACATTCTGTCAGCTAGCACCACCCACACATGCTCACTCTGACATCGCACTTATGCAGAAAGAAACGGCAATTGGGGGCACATCCAGAACATGCATTTCTAAGCAGTGGTTCTGCCATTCAGTTCCATCAGATGGCCATATTGTGTTAAATGACCACTATAGTGCCAGGAAAACAAACTTTTATAGTGCCAGGAAAACTATAGGGTCTTTAGGTCTCCCCCCACCCTCAGGGTTCCACTCCCGCTGGGCTCTAGGGGGGCTACAGGGGTTATCCCACTCTGGGTAGCAGGTGCAGGGAAGGGAGCATGGGGAGACCACGTGAGTTTTGTATGCAGTAGAACAATCGGCAGGCTCCCTTCCACCATCTGTGGGTAGGCCTCTTGTAGGCTGCAGGTCTACTACCAGCAGTTCTGCCAAACTCGATCTGATTCACAGTTAGATCAGCAACCGTGGGGTCCTCCCGGGTTGCCAGGTAACCAGCTGCTGAAAATCTGCAACTGCGGACCATTAGTCATCAAATAGGATTATGACTTAGAGTTTTCTTGCAGAGCTGTTGGGTTGTGCGACCGATCAGCATGGCAATCTGGCTCTCGTGATTAAAGTTAAATTTACAGAGCATGAGATAAAACTTCTAAAGCAAGTTAACACCATTAAGATAAAGCTGTGTTGTTGCCTATAGTATCCTTTAATTGGAACATAATTTAATTTAATTTAATTTACTTCTCAGTAGAGTTGAGCGAACCCGAACTAAAAAAAGTTTGGGTTCGTACCGAACATTACGTTTTTTGGACCCCGAACACGGACATATCACTGTATGTTCGGGTTGGAGTTCGGCAATTTAATGACCCATTTTGAAAGGCTACAGGGCAACCAATCAACAAGCGTTTGACTCGTGTGCCCTTAAAAGCCATCACAGCCATGCCTACTAATGGCATGGCTGTGATTGGCCAGTGCAGCAAGTGACCCAGCCGCTATAGAAGCTGGTCACTTAGTATTAGTAAATACTGCCCGCCCCGGCCCCCACCCCTTAGCGGTGGGTGGGGACCCTAAATACCAATAAGGGGGGGGACCTATTGGCTCCATGGGTGAAGATGGATTATTTATTTTTTGCGCTTGTTTTTTATTTATTTTTTAGTGCGTCGGTTAAAGAAAATATTAAATGGTAAGATTTATTTTATCTTTTTTAACAGGTACTTAGTTAATGCCCCCCCCCTTATTGTTATTTAGGTCCTCCCCAGGGGTGGGGGCCAGGGGGGAGGACATTAGGTCCCCCCCCCAATTTTTATTTATGGCCCCAATCCACCACTCAGGGGTGGGGGCTGGGGGGAGGACATTAGGTCCCCCCATTTTTTATTTATGGCCCCCACCCACCGCTCAGGGGTGGGGGC